ATTTGTATATATTTGTAATTTATTTGGTAAGCAAAACAAGAAAAAAAACTATTAAGCTTTTTGAAATTCTTAACTGACGTCTAAAAATATTAATTATTAAATTTTAAATTTAAAAATCGATTTTTTTATAGTACTTATATAAGAGTGCAACTATATAAATTTAAATACCAATTACCTTACAGCTGTATAAGCAGTTGTGCTATCTATAACAATAGCATATACTTTAATATTTATTGATTCTAACTTTTACTAATCAAACTATAAAATTTCTGCAACCTATCTGCTAGCTAATAGATCTAGAGTTGGTATAAATAGAATTCAGACAATGAAAATCTGTTTGATGTCTATTGTTCGAATTGTTCAATCAAAAGCAATGGATATAAGATTGGATATATAAGATAACTTTTTGTAATCAGTTAATCACATAATATTAAAATCACTTCTACTATTGATCATTTAATTTAATATATAACAATTAACCTATAGAATTGCGTTTGTAAATTGTAATAATCATGTTATTATATTTACTCTTATTTATTAAGCATTTGTTTTAAAATTTATAAATAAAGTTATACTTTTAACTATTTAGTAAAATAATAATGTGTATATATTTATTACTTAGTATATGATAGTTTTTTAAATAAAAGTTTTTGCGATCCTTTAGAGTTTATAGATATTCTTTCACATATTAAACATTATTCCTGATTCATGATGTTTAGATGTTGCATTTTTGAAAATCTCATAAAATAGTATATAAAAATAAAAAATCTTATAGTTCTTGAGTTGGCTTCCAAATTATGTATTAAACGATTTCAAATTTTATTATATACATCTGTTATTTGAATGATTACTATATATGAGGTGCAAGTTTTTTATAATAATTACCATAGAGTACTAGCTGAAAAATCAGGTCTAATATGAAATACTCAAAAAATTTACAACAAATCTGGATATATTATGTTGTAGTTTATAAATTTAAAACTTCTCTTTAATTTATTAATAGAGATCTTGTGTTTTATAACAGGATATTTTGTTTAGAAGTACTCAAAAAGGGTTTTTGGTCAGTGCTCTATGATATTATTATAATTGTGATTAATTAAATAATAAGAAATAATGCATATCTTGTTCAATCTGATTAAGTCTTGTTCCATTCATATCCAAGTTTAGAACTATTTTATATGAAAGATACAAACTTTGTGCATATAAATATATATACAAATATTACAGTATAAATTATTATTGTAATGATAATATGTACTAAAATTTTCTGCCTTTAATATATCATTTAAATTTGAATATCATATTTATAAAATAATATGACATAGTTTTTTAGCATTCAAGTACTCTGTTTCACTACAAAATTTTATATTAATAAGTAACTAATATATATTTTAAATATTTTCAAATGAAAAAGGCAAATTAAGTAAAAACAAATTTTGCAATTTCCACTTCATGACTTGATTTTCAGCAGAGTGTATTTCTGAATTCAAAAAATCAGTATCAGCATCATCAAGATCATCTTGTTCTTCAAATTCTTCTTCAATTAATAATTCTTCCTATTTATTAATAACAACATCCCAATCAGCTTCTAAAGTATTCTCATTTACATTATCATCAGAATTAATTTCTTCAGAAGTTGAAGAAGTAGCAGAAGAAACAGAATTGACAGAAGAAGAAGGATGAGATAATTGAATATTGAGAAAGTTGGATTTTTTTTATGAGCTCGCAAAATTTCTGTATGAAGCTGACTTATCGTGATTACTTTTTTACACTATTAATAATAATAATTAATAATAATAATATTATTATTATTAAAAAAAATTTATAATCAAAATAAAACTTACTTTTAATTTGTTTTGTAATAGAGAATGCAAAAAGCTTATAGTAGAAAAAAGTCTTTCTACTGAGGCAGTTGTAATGCATATACCAAATAATTGACATGCAATACGACTCAATTCTGATGCAATACCAGAATTGTGTAACTACCAAAGAACAATATCGTCTTTAAATTGATTGAACATTTTTTCAATAAAAGAGAATTTTTGTTGTTTGTAGAGCTCGAGTTCATGAAGTAAATGGTTTGGGTCATTACTAAACCAAGCTTTGTAATAATATGATAACCATTTGCCCATAAGAGTAAAATTAATATATAATTATGTTTGATCAAAATAGCTTAGCCGATATAAAGGATGAAATGCAAAAGAAAAAAGAAGTAACAGTTGTTCCCAAGTAGATCATCTCTTCTCAAGTCTTTCAATCATTTTGGTTTGAAATTGTAATACTTCAAGTTTTTTAAATATTTGCATAATAAAGCTAAAGAAATATAAAATGTTATAAAAATGAGCTTTGTCATATTGCATAAGGTCAAGGGCTTTATAAAAAAGATAAAGTTCTAAATAACCAAGGTCTTATAGGCTCAAGCACTCACATTTGACTTCAACAATTACAAAACAACTTATGGTTAACAACAAATATTCTTCAACACCCTTATCCACTAATAGATGGACCTAATAAAAACACAACTACCTTTAAAATTATACAACTACTTAATTTACAATACTACAACTATCCATTAACACGTATTCTGAATATCTTCAGCTTATACACTTCAATATGCTTATATGCCTATTGAAAACTTTCTTAATTCACACAAATTGTATTTACAATTTAAAAAGCAACTATGAACAAAAAATATCATTTATTTAGAACAACTCATCTTATTTGATAATTCTAGTCTACTAAATTGGATATATATTTCACTATGTTTACAACAAATCTCAAAAGAACACAAACCCCTTTGGTTCATAACTCTAAAAAACAAAATAATTATTAATCAATTAACTAGACAAATCAATCCAAATTTAAATCTATCTGAAATTAACTTAATATTATTTACTACAGAACATTACAAAACCAAATCCAAATCCTAGTTGATCATATATAATAATAATGATATCATTATTGGAAAAGCTAGAAAATACTATTAAAATAGTGACGAAATATCTATTATACACTGAAATATTACATTTGATCACTTATACACCAATCTATATCTCACATCTACTTATCGAAATCAGCTATACACAGAATGTATCTTGAACTCTAATCGTATTCAAAATAAATGTACATTTAACATCCCTGCTAATCTATCAACCAAGTTCTTATAAAGACCAAAATATACTGAAACTAAAACCATATTCAACTTCATACCAACCTGCTAGACCTAGCCTATTCTCTTGCATTACACAATCTACTTACTATACTAATACTACTTACTATTAATATTTAGAACAATACAATATCTGAAATTTTTACTGATAACCAATATGCACAAACACTGTTACAAATTGCAAAAGACAATTTAATCTACTTACAACTAACATTTTATACAGATATTTCTGTTAAAAATATTACCACAGAGTGCTGTATAATGGGAATTGGCTGAGTTCAAACTCAGGACGATACAATTATCCACATCTATTCTGCAGAAATTTGATTTTGGCTATTATTATATAAAGCTAAACTTATTGCAATACTATTAGCTATTAGCACATGCCCTAGAAATAGCTTAATTATAATCTATACAGACTTATAATCTATTATATCCAAGTATAAAAAGCTCATACAGTCATCACCAACATCAAACAAGAAATGCTCTTATAACTATTGGCCAATATAGTATACTCTACTAAACATTATCAAAGCTTATGAATTAAATATTTAATTAGAAAAGTCAGAGCATATAGTAACAACACTTTCAATAACTTAGCAGACAGACTAGCAAAAAATGCTAACTATTCAACCATACTACAATTTATAGATAACAACAAATATAATCATTATATCTTATTCAGTATAAACAAATTGCATTTGAACAGCCAAATCGCAGATCTATTAAGAATATATATAATGCTCATATTATAGCAATGTGGTCATCTCAACACCGAATAGACAATACTATATCTATATCTCCTCAAATTAACTGGAACACAACCTGGCTTTACCTAAATAACAACTATAAAAGATCAACTACTTATACTAACTTCAAACTATGCCAACAAAAAACTTTTAAAATCAAGCTTATACTTGATATACTTCCTATTTTAATATATCAACATATATTATATCTATTAACAATACCAAATAATACTTGTTTAACATGTGGAACAAGAGAAATCCAAAATTACTGGTTTACTTATCCAGATATATCTAAACTAAACACACTTATCACAACAATTTCTTAATTACTCAAACCTAAACATTACTAGCACTCAACTACAAGAATTACAAAATATACTTACAAACCATCAGTGCTTCTCACATAACAATCAACACAACAACATTAATCTATACACAACTATCCAAAGATTCATTCCTACAACTCTTATACAATCTATAAAAGAATATACAGAGTCTGACCAAATTGCAATAAAGATTACTATTTAGCTCTTAATGCAACTTTCACAAAATATACATAACTAAATATGGATACCATACTATACAAAACTCTCTGAATAAAAGCAACAAAACAATATACCCTCCAGGCCTAACCGTAACTCAAGAACTTCTCACAACACTAATACAACACATCATAGAATACTACATACTTATAGCTGTCCCTGCAGCTTATCTGACCAATAACACAAAGATAACACCTGTTTACCTCTTGAAAAAGCAATTAGAAAAATATTTCTATAGATTATTTCATGGATTAAATATAGTATCCCAATTAACAATGTTTTACACTATCAAATCTAGGTAAGTTTTAATCACTCTAGTAGGTTTAGGTTACAGATAAATCAAAATTTCTAGTTTAGATAGTTTCTGGTAGTCTAAGTCTTATTCTTGTAAAAACTTTTGTAAATTGGCTCTGGCTAGAGAAACCCATAGTGGACCCTCAATACAAAATATTAATAAAGATAAAGATAAAACCTCACCTTAAAAAAAAAAAACAAAAAACAAAAAAGACAAAGTATATTATATAATATTATAAGTGATTCTCAAAATGAATCATGATTAATAACAACTTCAATATCAGCGAAAAGTTTCAAATCATTATCTGAGGGTTTGGACCTTATAGCTTAGTGGTTAAGCTGCCAAACTCCCACAGATAAGGTTGACAGTTCAAATTAGGCTGGAGGCAAAGAATCTTAGGATTTTCTGCTTCTGTAATTCAGAAGGAGGCCTCACTATTGGATGCAAAGCTCTGTAACTAAGTTCAAGTGTAAGTACGAAACCGAAAAAGGAAATTCCTGGAAAGAAGATCTAATTGTGGAGTGGTGCTAACGTATATATCCCCCACAAATAGTTCTGTTACATGAAGATCATCTTCGATTAGGGGTGACCAGAGCAGCACCAACATCTCCAGTGGTTGAGAAACTTGCTTGGGAGAGTGATACAATGGTAACAAAACAGCATTAAGAAAAGTGATAAACATAAGAACGACCTGTAGTAAAGGATTGGTCCAACCAGAATTGGAAGCACCTCTGGCATGTGGTACAATATCAAGTTAAGAAAATGGATTACCTATAGGGACCTATAGATAAGAAATTGATTAGCAGAAGTAGTACACAAAAATCCAGGTTGAACATTAAGGCTCTGGTAAGATTAGGTTGCAGATAAAGTAGTTTGAGTCTAGTATTCTTAGATTAATCAGTAAGTAGATACATAAGTAAGCAACAAGATTGTATAGTAGTATATAGACTTATTGATTTAATAAAAGATACATAAGGCAAGATCTTACCTTAATACCAAAAAAAAAATAAAATCAAATCATTATCTGAAGCCGCATCATCTTTGGTAGCTAGAGTCTAAAAAAAATTAAAAATTTAAAAAAATTTAATTTTGCCTCTATTCAATTTAATATATGCATTTAATTTACTATTGCTAATTTAGAAATAACTTCTAAAACCAATATATATTAACAGCAAATTGAATAGAGCCTTTAAATAAATTATAAAATAGCTTACTTTTAATAGATGTTTGTTTTTAAGAATGCTATCAAAGCATTCAAAATAACTATTCCACCTTGTTATATATTGTATAACAAAATTAATATATTGTTTTAAAATATTTCTTTGTTTATTACGAAGTTTGGCAGTAAAATATACAGAACAATTAAAAAAAGTAACAATATGAATTGCACATTTGCTTGTATTTTTAAATATTACAAATTCTTTAAATATATTATCAACACAACAATTTGCTTGGTGTACAAAGCATAAGATGAATATCTTATCATATATTTCACGTCTCAAACAATGATAAGCTGCTGTATAAGATCTAGCTGAATCAGTTATAAGACAATTAGTTCTTATACCTAATTTTTTTACTTCCTCAAAAAGATTATAAACTCTGGATATCACTTCTTCTTTTCGTTATTTTTCAATTCTAATATCTTCTGTTCTCCAAATTAAAGTTTTATCTGAAAATATAACAAATACTATACCTATTAATTTCTAATTTACAACATTGCGCCAACCATCAAAGGCAATAGTAATACCAATTTTATCATTGCAGACAAGTTCCTTAAATATTGTCTGAACTTCGTTAGTTGCATTTATTAAAATATAATTGCTAAGTGATCTTTTGTTAGGTAACTTTATATATGGAGAAATAAACTATAACAATTCTCTAACTTCAGGATTTTCTATCTATCAAAATGCAAATCTAGCTGAAATTGTAGCCCAGAGTACAAGACATTCAAATTTGGAAACTTCAGAAGCATTAAGGTGATGCCAATATATTGAGATAATGTTGTTTGTTTTTTTAAAAAAGAATCTGAGATATAGACGCTAATAATAAACTAGAAGAATAAGTTGATGTTGAATCATTTTTTTCTTCTTCTTCATCTATATAAGATGTTGCTACACATTTTTTTGAGGTTGAAATAGCCAAATTTATAATATTTTGTATTTGTTCAGGTGAATGCTTTATAGCAAAATAAGAACAATCCTTGAGATGATTAGTACAATAATATAAAGTATTTGTAATTTTCATACTCTCATCTTGCAAAGCAAAGTCTTTTCCTACTGCATCCATACATACTCTGCAAATACATTTCTAATTACTTTTATTTGCACATTTATTGGGTATAATATAAAAATATTCACTAAGCCAATGTAGTGTTTTTCTACTTTGGTATTATATAAATATAATTTACAAAATGATAAAGGAATTGAATAAATCAATTAACAAAAGGTTGGAACTAGTGTATGAGAATCGGTATATTGTAGAGTTAATAAATGATCAATCAACAATCTAGTGCTTAAGTACAAAGATATACTGGTTCGTATTATTTATAAAGTCATCACATTACACAACACTACTAACCAACCTCCTTTATTACTATATTATTCTCTCCTTAATGTTATGAATTGAGATACTGTTATTATACCTTGAAAAGAGATTTGAACAAAAGTAAATTTTTTGCTTGATTAGCTAATTATGACATATGATAATTGTATAAAAAGTTTAATTGCAACTGGAAAAATCAGGATTTAAAGTACAGATTTGAGGTATACAATTGATTTATATATATTAACTGAGTAGGAATTATTATATATTGGCTAAGTGAAAAATATTATGTATTGGCTGGGTGGAAAATATCATTTTTTTTCATATGAAAAGGACAAAAGTCCTTTACTAAACTATATATATTTTTCAAGAGATAATTCTAAGAATCTTAAATACAGTTGATGGTTTAAAAATAAAAAAATAAAGTATATAGCAAGTGTACATATTATATCAAATTAATCATTTATAAATTAATTTTTTTTATATACTAAAAATAATATTATAATATATAGAATTAAATTTGTATTGGACATATCATCGGACATTGAAAAATTGTCTGAATTGTCTTATGCAAAATAATTTGACATTATTCAATAACAACCATAGTTGTACCAAATTAAACATTGGACATTGCATAAGACAATTTGGAAATGTCTGATGTCTGATAAAAAACTACCAGATATATAACTTGCACAACCCTGGTTCAGAAGGAACTTGTATCCCCTAGTATTCTGATAAATTCTTTTCATTATATACATATAGCCTGGTTAATATGGTGCCTTGCTGAATATCTGGTCTTTGTTCAGTTTGCTGTTGAGTCTGATTGCCAATGATCATTCTTTACATAGTACTGTTAAAAATCTGTGCTACCTTTCTATTCAGAACTTGCCAAGCAGTCTTTTATATGCTCTGATACTCTGAATTTACCCAGATATATCACTTGGGTTTTGTGTAACTCTTGCATTATACTACTGTTTTGCATTCTCTCAATACAGGCTGATATGACCAAGGTTACAGGTGCTAACCCATCAGATTATATACAGTCTGCCATAATATATTCTGTAAAATTCAAATTTTGTCATTAGTAGAATTCGAACTCTTGTCCTGCTGCTTAGAGATGCGACTTCACTAAATCATCACACTTAATCAACAAGTTTATTATAAAATTTGAATTCTCTATTGTATTTTAAAATCAACAGTCTATTTTTCTATTAATAACTCACCTTCAAATCTTACTTTACTATAAACTTATCTCAAACTTTTTCTTTTATTACTACTAGTATTTAACTTATGCCTCTGGCATGTAGATTGTATAAAATGTATAGACTTCTTAAGTTATATAATAATTTAAATATTTTGTTTATATTTTGTTTGGTTACTTGAAAACTCATTTATTAGTATTTTTTTTTTTTTTTTTTTTAACTAGCCTCTTTGGAGCTAAAATCTTTATTCAAATATTGTTGAATAAGAGACTCACAGCTTAACACCTCATAGAAACACCTTATATTAGAGAGTATATTCTAGCCATACCTGTGCCTTTTGAATATCTAATTAAGTAGTTTTGTCTATTACTAGACTTAACCTGATTATAAAATTATCTATTTAAACTTTCTGTAATGCAACTCTACCTGTATTACCATTACATCTCTATTATATTCGTCAGTCAAGAAGTCCCAGATGCTTAATCAATTCTCTATAGGACTACTTTATCTTTGAAGCATAATTGCTAGAGCTTTTCTTATTTACAATCTGGCTAACCTAAACTTTCAGTAACTTGCATCGAGTCCAAAAACAAGTACTTGCAAGCTGAAGCTGCTACTGTTACCTACTACTGCCCTTATAGGATTCGCCTATACCTTAGCACCCACTTTACAGACTATCACTCATACTTCTTTCACTTCAAACTTCCAATTCAAATGGTTCAGAAGGGCTATAGCCTGCTCTTAGTCTCCACAGTTGGGTCTTTTTTCTCTGATTACTTGCCTAGTAGGCTAGTTGGTAAAGTGTCTTGCCAAACACTTCAGTTTTGTTCAGTTTTTATTACTTCCAGATAATAATTCTTTACATAGTACTGTCAAAGATCTGTACTATCTCTCTACTCGGGTCTTGTCAAATGGGCTTCTGTATCCTGTCAATCTGCTAAATTTATTTAGTAGCTTTACTCAAATTTTGTGTAACTCATACATCACACTAAATGTTCTACTACCTTCCAGTACAAGCTAGTATGACTCTATTACAGGTTTTATAACCCAATAGAATACAGTTTTTCTAATGCATTCTATAAATTTAAATTTCATTGCTAGTGGAATTCAAATTCTTTTTTTGCCGCTTGGGTGTGTAACAACTTACCAACTTTACTAAGTCACTACATCCTGCTTATTAGTATTTGATATTGCAACAATAAATACTATAATTTAATTATTTAGAATGGTATATATGTTATGGCTCAGATTAATATTTGTATTAGATGTCGTTTTGTCTAAGTATAATTTCTACCCTAATAGTAACTAAGTTTAATAAAATTTTGTAATGATAAGTAAAGATATAGTGATATGGTTTTATATTACACTTGAATTGCCTACAATAAGCAAAGATTGATATAAAATACATATATATACATATTTTATATATAATATATAAGCTAATTAAATTATTTGTTTATCTTCTATGTTTTATTATACTATAGCTCTTTAATATTTTATAAATTAGCTTTAAAATAAATTCTTGATATATACAATAGATCAAATATCAAACTAATCTTTTTTATATTATTGCTAAGACCCAAATTTAAATAAGCCCTAACCACTTCAGTTGGCTTAGATTGCAAATAAACTAGTTTAAGCTTCTATTCTTTCTATAATATTTTAAAAGTAAATTAATGCTTTATATAAAAATCTTTTTTTTTTTTTTGGTATTAAGGTAAGGCCTTGCTCATATCTTTATTAATAGTTTTTAATATAATAACTGCAAAGAGTTA